GTACGAGTACTCACTAGTACGAGTTCTCGTACGACTAGCACTGGTACTGGCATTTTTACAGGTAGGCTGACTACTACTCCCGCGGCTACGGCCCCTCCTCCTCGTCCTCCTCCTACTGCTGCTGCTGCCGCTTCTGCGGGGCTTTCAGTCCCGAAGCCTTCGCGACCCGGAGGCTGCTTTCGTTTTGAAGCTCTCCCTGGTCATGTTCCTGACGAAGCGGAGCCCCGAATCCCGGCGGACCATAGAAAAATGAGTTTTGGCAGTAGGGACTTCGGGTTTAGGCTGGCCGGCACCTGAGTCCGTGCTGAAAAGGGTTTAGGGATTATGGATTTTGGGGTTTAGGGCTCAGTTTTGCTTCAGGTTTCAGTCAATTCCATTGCTTGGCTTCTTCCCGGCTGCCTGAGACAGTAAAGTCTAAACTTTGAACCCCCTCACACGCCTCGCTCGCCATGTCCCAGTGGTGAGAGTCCAGATCGAATGCAAACTCCTGGAAAATAGTCCTTCCTGAGCCCTAACTTTCAAAGTCGTTGCAGTCCATAAAGTCCCTTAAGCCCTAAACTTTAAGCCGTAAACCCTAGGCCTTAGCCTTAAACCCTAAACAGCCCCTGACACCCCAAAGCCCCCTCCCGCGGGGAGCCGAGGAGCTCTGCCGAGACTTAGTGGACCGCGGACTGACGGAAACTCTTCTGATGTGCCCGGAACTTGGGCTGCTTTTGTGGGGACGCGTTTAGGGACTTTAGGGTTTAGGGATCTCAGGGTACTTTAGAAGGGCATCATAAAGTTTCTGCACGGGTGTCCATGAGTTGTATGAAAATTTGCAGGGTTGTGGGGTTTAGAAACTAGGATCATTCCAAACTGTCGCCCCGGGGGGCTCACGGGAGGGTTTATACACACGACGCGATGGCTGCAGCTCTGGCCTGAGCTGCGGAGAGTCTGGGATACAAGGATCGTTAGCATAAACTTGTTTTTACCAGGTTTCGACATGGCTTCAGCACGACCAACTGAGACAGTTACGGTTCGGGTAGGCCGTCTATATGAGAACCCTAAACCGGAACCCGAAACAACTCTGAAAGCCCCAAAACTCGGCCAGATGGAGCGCCTGCAGCCAGGTTTGCTGGACATTGCCCACCCATTGCGGCAGGCACCCACGACCTACCCTTGATGCTTCAGGGGTCGTCGGGTGCTCGAGGGTAAACCCTAAGCCCTAAACCCTTCGGGGTCTAGGGATGCAAGGGTTTAGGATTTAGGGTTTAGGGCAGAAGGAGCTCCTGGTTTGGTAACAGGGTTTAGGGTTTAGGGTTTAGGGGGTATCCTTTATAGCCTCTAGTACAGCTACAGTCTAATCTACCCCCCCACAGCCCTCGTCTGATTGTTAAGGCCCCTCTACTACATGTTTCCCAGCCCAGGGTTTGCTCATACTGCTCCGGAGTGAGCTTTGGTCTAACACTCTGCTGTTTCGGGGGTTCTTGAAGCTAGGCATTCCTCAGTTCCAATCCTCTAGCCAAGCCTCCCATTCTCTCCCATTTTCCGGGTGTACACATGAAGGGTTTCCAACCTTTCTGAGAGGGCATTCCCAAAGCTATAAAGCAGGCATCCCTAAACCCTGACCCGAAAACCCTGAATCCAAGAGCCTTCACAACTCCAACGTTTCCGTACAGACTGAAGATTCCAAGGCCTTGAACTGTTTTGGTCTTGTTCCTGCATGGCTGTTCCTGTGTCGACGCCCTGAACCCCATTCCTAGACAGTACGTAACAACCTGAAATCTCACATGATCGTAAGGACAAACACCCTCCAAAACACACCCAGAACACGAAACCCCTCTACCGAAGCCCTGCAGCCGAAGCAGACGTACCCCCCGACCCTCAAAAACCTTGATTCCCCAAAACCCGAAATCCTAAACGCCTAACTCGCACGTGCAGTGCTGAAGACCTCTAAACCTAAACCCTAAACCCTTAACCCTTAAGCCTTAAACCCTAACCCCAGGTCTGAACCCCGAATTTCGTGGATCTCCCGAATGGGTCCCCCTACCAGGCCAGCTTTGAGACAGGCTTCCAGGGGTACCTTCTTTTCGTCCTTAAACGAGCCCAAGGAAGGAGCTCAGATTTTCAACCCGACACCTGAAAGGCTGCGGTGCTGCCTGAGATCCACCGACTGCAGTTGCTTGGCATGTCGCTGCTGAATCTGGGCTTATAGGGTTTCAGGGTTTAGGGTTTGAAAGGCTTCAGCGGTTTGGGGTTGAAGGTGTCGGTGCATTTCGGGTTTGGGCATGGTTTCTGGTGAGCAGGCGGGGTTGTAAGGTAAGGTTCTGCAGAGAGGTGTTAGCAGCTGCATAGGGGTCCGTAGAGCCCTTTTTTTAGGGCCCTGAACCTTCGAGCCGCTTGCAAAGGCTCCTGTCCAAGCGCGCGAGGCAGATCGTGGAGGGCATTTTGGTCAAGCGTCTCTCGGCCAAGGAGCCCGAAACCCGTTTCACTAAACCAATTTTTTTGGGCTGTGGTGTTGTGGTGTGTTGAAAAAGGTTTTTTGAAAGACAGAATGGCCGGGATTAGGCGAATGTCTCACTTGCGCCATGTCCCCCAGAGCAGGGAAGGGTGTGCCCTATTGAAGTGCAACATGCTTTAGTGCAACAATGAACCCGGTCGCTGTTCCAGATACTGAAGGCAGTGGCAGCGACTGCTACATTGTCATAATATACCTTACTGCTACAAGGTTTGCACACCTCCAAGCCACAAGCACCATGGAAGCTTCTTCATGTTGTTCATGGGCCGTAGGTTTTCGGCGAACCGAAACTTCCTCGCTGGTTCCAGAATTCCAACGCGTGTCCCCGACTGACTGAGGTGAGCTACTGCGCGCAGTGACTCTTGATCAGTTCATGGCAGCCGGCTCTCATGAGGCCCGGATCTCAGCGGGTGGCGATTGGAGTCAGAAAGCAAGCAGAGAACCAGTTTTAGACGCGTTACGGCCATCAGAATAGCGGTGGGGCAAAACGCGCAGGAAGTGAGTCTGCGGTGATATGTGGGGATTCGGACGGTAGTTGTGGGGGCAGTGGTGGTGGTCATCGAGTCGTAGAGTCGTATGTACATGATGGAATCACCTTCGTCTACCACCAGGGCTTTGGGTATGTGGGAAGCCGTCGCGCCTTTAGGCACCGTCTCATTTGGGATTTGGGGTTGGCCATCCACTATCTGCTGTATGCGCTTGGAGTGTATCAGGAACCAGTCGCCCCTGTTAGGGTTTGAGGTGCCCTAACCCTAAACCCTAAACCCTCAACCCTAAACGCTACACCCTAAACCCTAAACCCCTGTTAGGGTTTGAGGTTTGCCACCCGCCGTCTTTTGGGGTCTCTTGGGCCACCTGTCGGCTTTTGGGGGTGCTGGGAAGTGGACACAAGGAAAGCAAGCCCATCCGGCACATAGATGCGCAGTCAGCAGTGGAAGGAGTAGAGTGAGTAGAAATAGTAGATGCAGAAGAAGCAGAAGCAGACATAGAGTAGAAGTAGACGAAGTAGTAGAAGTAGTAGAACTAGTAAAGTATTAGAGCTAGAAGTAGCAGTAATAGTACAAGCAGAATCAGAGGACGAAGAAGAGGAAGTAGTAGTATGAGCCGCAGCAGTGGTGTAGTAGTAGTAGTAGTAGTAGTAGTAGTAGTAGACGAAGAAGCAGTGGAAGTAGTAGAAATATTAGAAGTTTAGAAGTAGTGGTAGCAGTAGTCGTGCAGTCAGACATCTTTTGACGGAGGCCAACGGATAGAAAATAAGTAGAAGCTACACTAGATGCCGTGGTCCTCGGTTTGTTCTCCGAAATATTTGATTCGGACCGAAACGAGCTCCCGGGATCCTGCAAGGGACAACTTCTGGAAGCGTGTGTATTGCTCCAGGCTGTCTGTCCCTAGACGCTGCTGCCAGAGCCTGCTGTGTGAAAGGCATGTATTCTTTCCCTGGTTGGGGCTGCTGTTTTTTACAAATCCGTCCTACCGTGTTGCTCTGAGGCTGTGGTGGCTTTCGCAGTAGCAGTAGCAGATTCAGCAGCAGCAGGGTGGCAGTATCTGCCAGCAGTAGGCAGCAGCCAGCAGTAGAAGCCCCCAGAGCACAAGCCAAGTCTTGTGTCAACCGCAGTAAGTATTAGTTGTTTCCTAGGGTCCCAGACTTAACACCTTATCCTCTGAACCCTAAACTCCTAACCATTCCTAGGCTGCCAGACCTTCGAGCTCAGGAGTCCCTTGAAATCTTCTTAGAGCGGTGCTCTCAGACTCAGGACTTTGCTCGTGTCCGCCTCCGCCTGCGGAGCTTGCAGAGAGGCTGGGGGAGAGCTCCAGGTGATCCACAAGGGTTTCGGGTTTATGGTTTAGGGTTTAGGGTTTATGGTTTAGGGTTTAGGGTTCCAGACAGACGTGAGGGAGGGAGATCTGGCGACTGAAGCAGAACGCCATTGCCAGAAGTTTCCGAGTAGTGAGAGCGACCAGCATGAGTAAGCGCTAGCAGTGGTGGCAGTATGACAGCTAGTTTCCAGTTCGCTACTACTTTGTGAAGTCAAATAGCAATAGTAGTAGCCATGTAGTCGTCCCCACATTTCGCAGCAAGTAGACTGCAAATAGTCACAATCGCCACCAAAGCTAAAAACGTTGCGGTATGAGTAGGCACGTAGTACCAGAGCAAAGCATACGAGAACAAGAAGGAGGGCAGTACTGCTACTGAAGGGATTTGCAGTGGTGGGCAAAAGAAGCAGGAGCCGTAATCAGAGCAGCAAAAGTACGATAAGCAGCAACAATGAAGGGAACGCTTGCATAGTTGATAGGGGAAAGTGAAGCGTCCAAGCATCAGCATTACATCGCAATATGAGTATGACAAGTAGCATATAACAAGAAGCCTCGCGCTCAGAGTGGGCAGCAGTTATATACCTGCGGACCCTAGCGGAAACAGCGCGCGGTCTCCTGCAGCAGTGTGGCTCCTGCCTCGCCCTGACCTCTGCGTTCTGCTGTTTCTACCACTCCCGAAACACCAATCATGGCCGAAGCAAAGCGCAACGTGGCCGAGGGCACGGACAGGGTGAAGACGCCCGGATAAGATGGAGGTTTAGAGTATTATAGCGGTTACTATCAGGGTTACTCGAACCTTAGAGGGATCTGCCGTGCTTTTGCGGCCTGGGCTTTCGGGTTTGAACGCTTCTCGGTTTGCAGCGTGCACGCTAACTTTCGGCTCGGGGAGGCTCGCACGTCGCAGGACATGCCTGATCCGAAATCCTGAGCCGTTCCTGCAAAGCAAACCCAAACCCCACTCAAGCTTCATCCGATGAAACTTCATCCCTAAAATGCCCTGAAACTTGCATCGACGGCCCCAACCAAGAGCCAATAAAGCTCCTCCTGGGCCGAAATATCGAGGAAGGGCTTGCCGGCCATGCTCAAAGGCGGCGTCATCATGGATGTCATGAACAAGGTGCCATGCAATGTTGTAGTAGAAGCCAGGGCTTATAGGGTTTAGCTTCACGAGTGCGATGTGCTGCGAGGGAACATGGCCGGGCGAACTCCAATCAAGCCTGTGTGCAAAAAAAGGGGTGAAGTGCACGAGGAATCACAGGAGGACAAAGTCGCAACCCCAAGCCCGCAAGCCTACGGGTGGGCTCCAAATACCTTTGTTTACTGAGCCTTTGAAAACGCACCAAGCAATGCCAAGAACCACTAGGAAATGACAAGGAATACAATGAACCACCAGGAAACGCCATGATATGCATGCCAAGAACTGATACAACATGTATCGGTTCGCCAGGATTCCGTGTGGAGCATGGAAGCGCCAAAGCAATGGAGGCCACCAGAAACTACTCGAACACTCAAGTTGACAAACCGTGGAGCTATCAAGAACTGCTAAGAATAAGAAGTCCACAAGAATGGTGGGAATTGTCAAGAAACAAGTGGAACTATGGGCAGATGATACTCGTAAGGCCACACCTGCATATACCATCATGCAACATCACCGGAATCAAGAGGCTGTCCCACGGACCTGGGACGGGAAAAGCTTCAATGAAACAAGGGGCGAGTTCCCCTCCACCCCAATCCGGCACCCTGATGTTTAGCGGGCCATCATCGTCACGTCTGCTACCGATCGTCCGAGGCGGCCGAGTGAACTGCAACGCACCTGCACGATGCGGCTCATCCTTACAGCAATGCCAACCTATCCGCATACCAAACTTATTGCACAAAGTGCAGCTCAATGCCAGAACTGCCTGAGCTACTGTAGCAGCCAATTGGTTGCCGCGTCAGCTTATGCACATACCAGACCATACACACGTTTCTTGAGGGTTCACTGCGTTGTTGTCTGTCGGCGGCAGTCAGAAGGCCTAAAGATTTCGGGTAGCGAGGGTTCAGGTACCCTGCCTTAGTTGGAAAAAGTTAGGTCGTTGGCCGATCCCTACATCCTAAACCCATGAGCTGCCCCAGGAGCAGGCCAAGATCGCAGAGGAGGCGGCCTCTTTGGGGGACGGGTCGCTGCTTGGAGTTGTCGCACTGGCCGGGTTGACTTCTTCAGAAGCCGCACCCTCCAACATCTGTTGCGCCACGTCCGTCCGAACTCAACGCCTGAGATTCCTACGAAAGGCACCCCAAACCCCAGGCGAAACCTTGAGACCGCAACCCTAAACCCTCGGCCTTCGGACCCTAGACATCCAAAGACTGTGGAGCCACGACCTCAAAGCCTTATATTCTATAGCCAAGAAAACCCTAAGCCCCACATCCCTTAAAATGAACCTTTAACGTCCTTGCAGTATAACCCCCCATAAAGCGCACCAAAACCTTAGAGAAGCTTAGAAGCACCCTGCAAGTAGCCCTGCAGAACCCTCAACGTAACCAGTATAGAACCCTTTCAGTGTGGAAACCCTGTAGAACCTTGCAGAGCCCTGCCTTCTACATCCTAAAACCTAAACCCTAAACCCTAGACCCACTACCGAAAGTTTTCGAAGGCCGGCGCGTGTGCCGTTATGGCCCTGGAGCGAATCCCCGCGGACCTCCGGTTCAGGGATGGTGCTGATGATAATGATGATGATGATGATTATGATGATGATTATGCTGATGATTATGATGATGATGATAATGATGATGGTGATGGTGATGGCGTTAGCTCCTAAACCCTAAACCCCAGACCCTGCTACTTTGTTCTGAACCAGTTAACAGTTTATTATTCGTATTCATTGTTTTATGCGGCGGGCCGCAAGGTCAACAGGTAGGCTTTGAAGAGTAGTGGATTTGAAAACTCAGGGCTTCTGGGGTTTTCGTTGTCTATGGGTTACTTTCAGGGTTACTGTACTAGACAGGTTCTATAGGATTATTGTAAGGGTTGCTACACGGAGTTTAGGGGTTTAGAGTTAAGAGTTTTATCGAATTATTCGCAACTGGCTATGCACCGTGTGTGTAGCTGGCTATGGATCGCGCGTGTGTGTGTGTGTGTATGTGCGCGTGTCCTTCGAGTTCTTGAGTAGGACATGGAAGTGCAGTCATTAGAGCTGAACCTGGGTGTGCTCAGACCTTCAGGCGATTGTGCACAAGTCCTGAGATGCAAAAATATAGTTGTACGAGTTGCAAAGGGGACTAAGGTTATGAGCTTGCACTTAACAGAGCCCTTCAAAGGAAAAAAACCTGGCGAACGAGGCAAATCATGTTGGGCTCCCATAGATGCAACGCAGACCCACGAACGATCGGGAATCCTACGCAGAGTCAACTTACGGCACCTTCTGTCTAGGGTTTAGGGTTGTGGCGCGACATGCAAGCCTGATGCAAAAAGGGTTTAGTGTTGGTTGAAACTGCAATGTTCAGGATCCCCGCAAGAAGGGATTCTAGGTTTCGGTCTGTGGAAGGACATTCGCCAAAGCAAGGGCGTGGCTCGGATGTCGGATCCCAAGATGATCAAGGCCTCCCGGGTTCTTCATCAAAGGGTTAAGGCTTGAGGGCGTGGAATATAGTCGGGTGGGTTTAGGGTTTAGGGGTGGTGTATAAACGCAGAGTCTGGGTTCAAAAAGGGGTGGGTATAAATATGTATAGATACAAATGCCAGTAGCATCGCAGGCGCTTCTTTCGGTTTATTTGCGATGTGTCAAGAGGTTTGAGGAGTTGCCTCGTTGGGGGTGCGACATCTACTCCCTGCAAGGTGCCTCCTTGGCGGGCTCTTGTGCTGGGACTTGGAGGGGTTGCAGCAGACAGTTGGACTTACAGGTTTGCATGGTAGATCCAATATGCAACCTTTAAGCCGGAACCCTTAAGGAGATTTGCCGTAATACTTCTTGGCTGAAGCCGCTTGGAGGGCCTAGACAGCCGGATTCAGCTACAGCCTCCTTAAAAATTGGATTCAGCTAGACTCAGAGTCTGTAGCATGGCGTTTTCCACCTACTCTTGAATCGAAGGTCAAGCCCGTGTACCCCAAGAACCTCGGAACTCAGCCGCGAGCTTTCGGATGATACCGTTTTCAACATGTAACCTGCCTGCCCTACACGTGATTGAAAGGCAAATCAGCCGACGATTCTTTCGGCCATGGTCGAACGGCGCCGAGTGCGACGCCGGCTCCCGAAAGTGCCGCGGATTGCGTGGAAGAGGCTCCTTGAGCCGGGGAAGCCGGTGCGACTCCCACGCTACGCCGACACGGCCCTTCGTTTGATGGCCGTTTCCGTGCAGCCCCGTGGTGCTCCCACGGCTGGACAGAAGTCGCGCGAGAAATTCGCCGAGTTGCAGCTGATCCGCAAGACGAGCGGAGCAGAGGATCACCCGTCGCGGCAGCGGTTCGCCTTGTGGCGCTTCCGTGCCCGGCGCTCCTCATGGCATGCCCGGCCGCTGCAGGCATTGTTGAACTGCTCCGACTGGAACACCTACCTGAGTGCTGTCGGCTACCCCCTCTTAGTTCTTGGAACCTTGGAGGGAGCATTGACCCCTCTACAAAAGACCCAAGCTGCAGACAACATGCCAGCGGAGGACCAAAGTACTGGGATAGTGAGGCCGAATGATGTGGACGAGTTCTACGACGCAGTCGAGGCACACCTGCGCCAGAACGGCCGCACTCCTATGCGTCGGCTGGGGAACTTCGTTGCCTTACCACCGGGTGGAAAGAGTCTCAAGCTGAAGAAATTGCTGCTAGAGCGCCGGGACAGGTTCATCATCGACCTCTCCGGCAGTGTGGAGATCAACCACTCAAGACGTTGGCGCTGGAGCTCGCAAGGATTGGTGACGAAGCGCCGCCGCACCGCTGCACGGTAGCCCGTAGCAGAAACCTCCGTTCAGCTTTCGGCCGAAAACGTGGACGCGTGGCTTTGGAGCTTTGGAGCTTCAGGTTTTCGTGCTGTAGACCCTTTGCAATCAGACTTGAATCCTGACCTCTGTGAATTACATGTTCTTGAATTTTGCGGCTCATATCCTTATCCAGCCTTGGTGGTGTTTTGTAGCTCAACCTAGACCACATTCTACAGCTTCTGCAGATCTGCAGGGACTTCTGCTTGGCTGTAGCGACAACCCTTACGACTGAACGTCCAAAGCCTCCCAAGACCCCAAGCCCTGCAACCCATGAGCCCGAAACCTCGAAGCCCTCACCACTGAAAGCCCTGAACCCGAAAACGCTGAGGTTGAAGACTAGGTAGGTAGGTAGGTAGGTAGGTAGGTAGGTAGGTAGGTAGGTAGGTAGGTAGGTAGGGAGGGTTTCAACCTCACAAGCAGCCTGCACTCCAGCCTTTGGACCCAGCCGCAGGAGATCGTCAATTCAGTGTCGATCCCGGTGATGGCCAAGTGCAGGAGCCTAGGGGCACTTGCTGGATGCAGTTTCCGGTCACCTTACTCAATGCCTCACCCTAAACCCTAAACCCTTAACCCTAACCCTACATCCTGAACCTTTCAACCCTAAACCCAAAAAAGAAGACGCTCGAGTTGCCTCCCTCTCACTTGTAGAGAGGCCCGCATGAAAGATTCCAGGATTGGCCACTTTGTGGAGTCGCAGGCCTTGATGGTCAATATGGGTGGTTGTCAAAATTATGGTCCCTTTTTGGGTCCTTATTATAATACGGCACCTATTATTTAGGGCACCCGAAAAGGGACCATAATCTTGACAACTACCCATAGGGGGCTTCCGAAAATAGGGGACCCCAATATAGCACCCTAAATAGTAGGATCCTGACTATAATAAGGACCCCAAAATAAGGTATCCCGAATTTTCGGAAACCCCCTAAAAAGCGACGTGTCTTCGCGCCTTATGGTTGAATAGGACGCCACTAGTGAAGCCTAGCAGCGAGATTCGAAATAGGACGTTACGGGTGCACGCTTCGTTTTTTGGACTTTAAGGGGTTTAGTCAGGGCTTACGGGTTCTGGGTTATCAGGGTGTGGGCAAGGGTTCAAGCTTTAGGGCTTCAGGGTTCCTAGAGTAGAGGGCCTTGCATTTTGAGGTTGCAGGGGATCTCATCCACAAGTACATGTAGTCCGCGCACCGTGAGACCTCGCCCGGTTTGTCCGAGTTGCGAGAGTGTGAACCCTCGTAGGCCTGGGCCTTGTCTCGTCATGGACAGGTCCTGCAGCAGATCGGTGTTGACTGCATCGACGAGAGCGAAGTCTTGACCGTCGCAGATGAGGGCAACCACGTCAACAAGACCAAGTTCAAGGCCCTCAAAAATCTCGAAAGCTATTTTAGCTTTAAGAAAAAAAGGCCTGAATAGTTAGATTTGGGCTGGTGGGCAGGTCATACTCTAGTCATAGAGTGGAATCATCGCCCCAAGCCCCCCCGCAAAAGATTCCAGGGCAGACCTGCAAGGCTCGTGCATCCTGGCAAGCCCCACTTCACCCCAACACAGGGCCCCAAATTCGGGTTTCGTGTGCAGGGTTCAGGGCTCAGAATAGGTTTAGGGTTTAGGGTCTCAGAATGCGTCTCCCCGGCTTTAACTAGGGTTTGAGGTACCCCGTCCAATAGCCCTGACAGCATCCCGTCTGGAAGCCCTTTAGAGCCTCTCAAAGCAAAGCCAAAAACCACCCCCTCAACAGAGCCTTAAAGCCGTCGAAGGCTTCAGTCTTGGGACCCCCCCCAACAGAGCCTTAAAGCCGTCGAAGGCTTCAGTCTTGGGCAGGTTCCTTTCGTGTGCGGCTGCCGCAACCTTGGCGAGGCCTTGCGCCGCGTCGCCGAGGGGGCCAGCATGATCCGCACGAAGGGCGAGGCCTAAACCCTAAACCCAAACCCTAAACCCTAAACCCTATAAACCCAAACCCTAAACCCTAAACCCTAAACCCTAAACCCTAAACCCTCCCTATGGTTTCTTTTCATGTTGGCTCTGAGCTCCTGGGCTCCCCAAGCCCCCAAAACCAGAACATAAAAAAGCCCATAAACTGGGTAGTATTAGGGTTTCAGGGTTTAGGGCTTAGGGTTTAAGGCCAATTGCAAAAGGGCTTAGGGTTTAGTGACGTTTAGTGTCTGGCATTGGTGGAGGTGGTTGGGAGCCGCTTGAGTTCGAGGGCATAAGTTTAATTTCATAGGTAGTATTATTAGGGGTACCCCTTAAAGGGTGCCCCTTCTGAACCCTACTTTCGGCTCTCTTAAAAGGGACAAAACAGAGAGAGAGAGAGAGGTCCATTTTGGCTCAAGCCGTGAGCGGTTCAAGGCCCCGAGGTGCACTCCGCCCCTCTCTTGTCCTCTCTCTCCTCTCTTCTCTTCGTGGCACCTCGTGGGACCTCAAACCCGGGCGCCTGCCTTCTGCCACCTCGCTCGCTCCGCCTAAGCGATTGCTGAACACCAAGAAGGAGATCCACACCGCTGACGGAGCACACCGCTTTTGCAGGGGAGCTTGTTGTGCAACGCAGCACGACGGTGACCGCTGCTGTCAGGGACCTTAGGGACATTGTCACCTGCTACCTGACTGCACTCGGCGACCCTACAGGACCTGTACGTCTAAGGCGACCCGCCCCTCGAACCCTACGCTGGGAGATTGCAGGGACCCTCTTGAAGATCGTGACTTGGGCATCGACGCCAAGAATGCATTCCATGCCCTATGGATCCGGGGGACCCGTTGATGTCAATATGGTCTTGGAGCCCCAGTCCCCAGGAGCATCCACAGTCGCCACCGCAACAACGGGGGCAGAGGGACGAGACCTGCTGGACATGTCACCAGCCAAGAAGGGACGCACTGAAGCGCAGCCACCACAGGGGATCACGATGGAAGCCCTTCGCGACCTCTTCCGCGGAGAACTCTCCATAGCCGTGGGACAGGTCAACAGCCGGGTCGGAGCCTTAGAACAGACAGTGCAGACCCAACTCGCGGAGCACACACTCAAACTGTGCGATATCACCACCGAAGTGGAAGGACACAAGACTAAGATGGACCAGGTGCAAGACAAGCTGGAGACCTTGGAGACCCGCCTTGCAAAGCTCGAGAATGGTGAACCCAGTGGAGGAGAACAAACCAAAGGCAGGGCACCAGCCATGATCATGGGCGGCTTCCACCCTGAAACAGAAGCCAGCAAAGTGATCGATCAGGCAACCAAGCTGGTGGAAACCCTTCGCGTGGACTTAGACGTTCAGGACGCTTTCGTGCCCGGACTACGCAGGGGGTACTGCATCATCCCCTTGCACAAGAAAGGAGGCGAGACCGAGGACCAGCAGCGCACCCGAGTGCAGGCGTGCATTCGACAAGTCAGGAACGCCAATGTGACGGTGGGCACCCGCCCCGATGGAGCACCCGCCAAGCTCTTCCTCAACATCTCGCAGCCGCCGGAGAAGCGCAGGAAGGTCCAGGTGGCAGCAAAGTGCAAGCGACTACTCATGGAACTCGGAGCCACCACACAAGACGTAGACACGGAGTACTCGACAGGACAAGTGTGGTACAAAAGTGTCAGAGTGGCCTCGGCAATCAACGCCGGGGCACCCGCAGGTTCCAGCACGACGGGGTCCCAAGGATGGATCGACCTCCAGACGATCGCGGACAAGATTCAGTCGGACCTGGGCACGGTCAAAACGCACTGGCAGCAACTGGCCAGTGCCCTCAAGTGACATGAAGCAGAGGCCCAAAACATGGGCAACATGTCTCACCCCTGCATGCGCCCAAAAACCAACTCCTTGGTACTTGGAATTTGGGAGGGATGACGCCACCTAAGGTGATGGAATTCCTCAAAGCATTTGAAGGGCACAAAACCTCGACGCCCGGCATGCCGCCGCTATCCAAACTGATTGTGGTCATCCTCCAGGAAATAATCGTGGAGGTGGGCATCTTCTTTGAGGACGATGGCCATTGGACCCTGGTTTGCGGCAAAAAGGCAGGAGAGTGGAGGGGCACAGCAATAGCCTTTCGCAGCTCGTTCGCACACCACAGCGCAACCATTCACCCTAAAGGCAGCTCAGTGGTACTCAGCAAGGACAAAACCACCTTCGGGATCATTTGCATTCACGTGCCACACCATGCCACCGTCGACGAGACCTCGACCATCCTTGCAGACTTCGACACTTGCCCGGCAATGCGACAACACAGAACCATCGTTGGCATGGATTCGAACGAGGTCTTCTCACATTCGGAGAGCGCGCCCGCTTTCCCGAAGGGGCACACAGGCAGAGGGGAAACTATCCTGGCATGGCTGTCGGACGGCGACTTCAGGTTCCCCGAGCAACAGCTGCACCTGCCCTCACATTTCCCTTACTCAGGACAAAACCCTCGGCGCCTCGACTACTTGGTTTGCAGAGGCATCCACCTGGGAGGAGGACACGTCGGGGACCACCGAGACAGGGCGCATTCAGACCATGAACCCATCATTGGGAACCTCCCCGTTCGAGTTGAGCAGAAACAATTTCACAAAGTGTGGGGCCCTCGACACCTTCGACACGACTTTGAGGACACGCTGAGCCAGGGGCACTTCCTACACGGAGATGCACACCATCAACTGGCGGCCGTCTGCAAAGCCATGACCAACCCAGGTAGAGCCATGGACAAGTTCGACGAGACCAAGAAGCTCAAACAACTCAGGCGGGAAGCACAGCGCACGCCGCCAGGACCCGCCAGAAGGACAGCATGGAAAGAGGTCCAATCCATGCACAGACAGGAGAAAAAGCAGTGGCACACCAAACTCAACGAAGCCGCCAGCAAGCAGGATTGGCGGTCGTATCGGGCGCAAAAGCACCTCCTGCGTACCCGAGAGTGGGAGCACTACCTGCTGGACGACGCCAACTGGCAAGGCACCCTCAAGCACCACTTCGAGGACATCTTCTATAAGGAGGACCCGACGCAAGTAGCTCTGCAGATCACGGAGATGAAGCGCGAACTGGCGCATCTTTGCAAGCAAACTCCGTGGCACCCCTTCACACAAGAGGAGCTTCAGGTGACAGAAGGGCGCTGGCCGCGCCGAAAGGCGGCGGGACCCGACGGGATCATCCACGAGGCACTCAGCCGGCTACTGCGAGATGAAACTTGGATGCACAGGATCGTCTATCTCATCAACGACATCTTCTACAGGGGCACCCTCCCAGAGCTGCTGGAGAAGGGCGTCACCGTCCTTTTACCCAAGACTGCGACTCCGGAGGGATGGCCAGACACCCGCCCCGTTACCATCTCGTCGGCGATTCTCAAATGGATCGCACAACTGGTCCTGCGCCGCACACAACACCTCTTCAGACCGGTCTGCACACTGCAGTGGTGTGCCAAAGGCCGCCAGTCAGTAGAAATGCTACTGGCGATACGCAAAATAGCGCGGATGGCGCGGGGCTGGGGGGGACAATTCTTTATCATCAAGATCGATGTGAGGAAGGCGTTTGACAGCGCCACCCAAACGAGTATGGGACGACTGGTCACCACACACGTTGGAAAGCAGGGGCACCCGTGGGAAGCACGCATATGGCTGGCACTGCTACATGCCTCCCGGATGGACATCCAGTTCGGCACCTCCCAGAGAACCTCGTCGAAGACCTCTCCGCTGTGGCCCAGCTCTGCGAAGCCGCCTCGGCGGCACACGAGGAGGCATGGGGCACACACAACGAGGACGAGGAGAACCTGCGAAGAGCAGCTGCATACTGCTCGCCACAAGACAAGAGGCGCCGACACGAAGCAGATGTCATCGCCCATGGAGGAGGACCCAGCACGCAGCCAGACCACGACACTGCAGACCAACAACCGGAGAGGCCACTGAAGGCCTTGGCGAAGCTTCGTCGCCTGGCACCCTTCCTCCACGGACAGCTACACGAGTGGGCACAACAGGCGATAGGGGAACTCACCCAGTGGTCGACGCAGTTTTGGGGAACACCAGTGGAGCTAGTCGACGACGAGAACACTGAAGACGAGACGGACACCGTCGGAGCACACAGCCAAGACGAGAAACCACCCCGCGAACTACCAGGCCAACCGGAACTACCTGCACGACCTGGACTACCACACCGGCCCGCGCAACCGCAACCTGCCGTACTACCTGAACGACCTGGGTCTGGACTACCACACCGACCAGAACCTGTACAACCCGCTGAACTACCTCCTCCACCTGAACCAGTACCTGGACGACCTCGACCAGCTGAACCACTACGACCACCGCAGCTGCTCCCGCCTGAGCAGTCAGCGGAGAACCCGGCACGGGGGACCAACCTGCCGAGCACAAGACCAACCGGGACTACCTGTACAACCAGGGCAACCAGACCGGCCTGCACCGGGGCAACCACAGCCTGCTGTACCACCTCCTCTACCTCCAGCACCTCAAGGAGAACTAGACGCAGACCGCCGGCCCCCTGGACTACCTCAAGGAGAACCAGACGCAGACCACCGGCCTCCTGGACTACCTCAAGGAGAACCAGACTCAGACCACCGGCCTCCTGGACTACCTGACCCACGCGACCTACCAGCACCGCCTGCACTACCACAACGACCTGAACGACCTGAACTACCAGCTGCCTCTGTTCTACCTGCGCAACCAGTACTACCCTGGCCGTTGGAGCTACTGCAGCAACCCTCGCCAAGTTTGCAGCACCTACTACAACAACGCAACCCGTCGCGGCCGAGAACCACGAGCACTACGAGGACCCAGTGGACGTCGCCTACAAGGGCGGCACGAGGGGCACCCGCCCTACCAGAGAAGCCAGCGGAAGACGAGGGGGCACACCGGGAAGGAGAACCTGCCCAGGAGGACCAACAGTACAGCGACGACACGAGGCGCCCGGAGCTTACACCAACGGAGCCGGAAGCCACGTGGGACGAGAACGCGGACACAGTCCCATGGCAAGTCGAGCTGGGGGAACCACTCCGAGAAGAAGAACAACTGAGGGGCACCAGCCCGCAGACTTCTGAGAGCCAGGAAAGTCACCGCAGACGTAGGCTTCTAGGAGCACTCGCTGGTGACTAAGGGGACCTGTGCCTGCTAGAGTCTGTTAGTGTTCGCTGTTTCCTGTGTGCATCACCAGGGGTACCCGCCTGCAGAAGTGTGGCTGTCGGGCAACAACTGCTGTTAGGGTTTGACTTTACGGGCCCTACATCGTTTGGTTACCAGTTGCCCGCAGCGACGCCACCCAACTGGTACTCCACAGCGTGTTACACCGTAACTTGGCCCGGGCCTCAGTTGGTTGCTGGTTCTTTGCTTTCAGGAGTACCCCCCCCCAGAAAAGGGGCACACAGTTTCATGCACAGCCAAGCCCATCCGTCGAAAATGATGGATGGGGCAGCGCTTGACGCGCGGGACGGGGGGCCTGCCCCCGCCCCAAGCCCCGAGCAAAGCAAAGCAAAGAGAGAGAGAGCCCTAAACTCAACCGCGCAATCCCGAAGCCCGCGAACCTACCACTCCACCCCGCTTTCCCCAAGACTCAGGCCCTCCTTTTACCTTATCTGACCTGACCTTATCACCTTATCTTCTCGCATATTTTTTAATCTTGTGCTATTTGGTGAATATCTAGCTCTCTCTCTCTAGATACACAGTTGTCTGTCTGTCTATCTATCTATCTATCTATCTATCTATCCACCGGTTTATTTCTCTGTTTGTCCCACCCACTCTACTTCTCTACTTATCTACCTGTGTACGTACCTACTTTATCTACCCATCTACGTTTCTCTTGTCTGCCTATCTACTTATCTATATACCTACCTATCTAGCTACCTACTACTTACTTACCTGCCTGACTGCCTACTTTCCACTTACCTAAATTTGCCTACCCACCTAGCCTGCAACCCTCGACCCACCGACCACTTACCGACCTACCTGCCGACCGACCGACCGAACCACCGACTGACCGACTTACGTGCCTACCGACAGACCGACCCACCGACCGACCTATCGACCCATCGACCTATCGACCTACCGACCTACCGACCTACCGACCTACCGACCTACCGACCTACCGACCTACCGACCTACCTGCCTGCCTACCTACCTAAGAACCTACGTACGTACCCATCCATCTATCTACTTGCTTGTCCATCCAGCAAACTGGTCTTTCTGTCAATCTGCCTATGTATGGGCTGGCATGGTATGGTATGGTATGTATGTATGTAACATATCCATCTCATCCATCCATCCATCCGTCCGTCCCTCCCTCCATCCATCCATACATCCGCCCAGCCAGCCAGCCAGCCATCTATCCATGCATGCATCCATCCATCCAAACCTATACTCTAATCTAGTTTAGTCCAGTTTAGTCGTCTCGTAAAACCTCATCTAATCCAATCCAAACCTCATCTGATCTAACCTAGTCTAGCCTCGTCTACATAGTCCAACGTAACCTAGCCTAATCTGGCGTTGTCTAATCTAATCTAACCTGTTCTATCAATCTGGTTTATGTATTTACCTATTCATCCATCGATCTAGTTTTAGAATGCTACCCATCTATTTTGGTTTTGCTCCTGCCCAACAGGCCGGCACCGGCGATGTCGTCGAGGCTGTGAGGCACATCCGAACGCTGCACAAGGAGATGCGCATGGTGCAGATGATGGACGAGGCCAGCGGGTTTTCAGAACAAAGTTTACAGGTCTCCAGTTATCTAGGGCTTAGGGTTGTGGCACTTTCTTAAGATTGTGTTGGTGGGTTTGCGGATGTTTGCGGCTTGCTGCGGAACTAAGCTGTGCTGTGGGCATGCCGCCTGCATCGTAAGCCTCGGCTCAGCACGGGTTCAAAAGAGTTCCATGTGTAGGGTGCGGATGTTGGACGGTGGCAGTGGGATTTTCAGGATGCTGGCGCGGCTTGAAGCTCAGTATTGCTCAGTATTATATCCTAAGGCTTTTGGGGCTTCAGGGTTTTCGGGGTCTGAGTTATTTGTCTCTGGAATTCAGGGTTTGCCCAGGGCCGTGGATGTTCCAGGGCTTCGAGTTTAGGGGTTTAGTTTAGGGTTTAGGGTTTCGATATCTAAACCGGTGGTGGCTTGAGGCTCCTCGGGTTATGGGGTGTTAGGCTCTGAGGGTGTTACAGATGTGTAGATCCTTCACTGGGGAGTTCGGTTTTGCACGCCATACTCGACAAGATTTTATCCGAGCCTGAACCCTGGAGTATTAACCATAACGCCCAAAACCCAGAAAAACACAACAACCAGTATTCTTTCTGAAGTAGCCTGCAATGCAGTCCGCGTCCTTGCTAAGCCGGCGGGAAAACACTGAACCGAACTTGAACGTCATGACAGGACGAGCTCTTCACCTACGCCAAGGAGATCGGTGCACCCATTGACCTCGTGCCCAGGAAGCTTATTTTACGAAGCATGTCTTCTCTGTCAGGGTGTAGTAGTTTGAAAACGAGGGCGTCAGGGTTAGGGAGAACAAGTGCTGCAGGTTCAGGGTTCAAAGTCCTGTGATGTCTTGGGCCTCCGTCGTAGGCGGCTGAAAGAACGGGATGTGGGTGCTGTATAAAGTGTTGGTTCGCTGGCACAGTAACCAAGACCCTACATTGCAAACTTGGCCACCAAAAGCAAACCTTAGGCCCGCAAGAAACCCTAAACCCTAATCATCAAAAGGGCCCTAAAAAAAAACTAAACCCTAAAC